TTATTAAATAAATTAATATTATATCAAATATAATTGTTTAATTGGCGTCCAACGTGGGGCCGGGTAAATTATAAAATAAAATACAAGTTAAATACTGATTTAAATAAAGCAGCACCAAACCGAAGCAACTGAATAAGTTGCAAAATAGGACTGGAACTATCCGTCCGAATTCCGGACCACTGCAGTGTCTATCAGGCAGAAGTTTTAGCTATCAAAGAGGTGGCTGTATACCTTACTACACATGCCGTAACGAAGACTACGATTAATATTTTCTCGGATAGCCAGGCGGCCGCAAATAGAAAAGAAAAAGACGAAAGAGTTGCTGTGCCTCTCAAGAGAGGACATTGCGAAGGTCAGGGCTTGTGTAACCGGTCATTGGCTATTTGGCAGGCACTCTTCAAGACTAGGAATTTTCTCCCACGAATATTGCAGAAGTTGCAGAGATGAGGAAGAGGAAGAAACCGTAGAGCACTTCTTCTGTAGCTGCCCAGCTTTGGCCAAGAGAAGAGCAAGCTTTTTAGGCAGGTCCTTCTATGGCTCTCTTACGGAACTATCACGCGTAGGAATAAAACCGATTCTACGCTTTATAAGAGCCTCAAATTGGTTCTCTGAAGAATAGTCACCGAGGTTCCCGTGTTCTGCAGTGGTACCACAATGGACCTTCAAAAGGTCTAAGTGAGTTGGTAAATTGAACCGACTGCCACATCAACCTAACCTAACCTAACTAGAAAACTAATGATATACTGTTTTTGCATCAATTGCGTTGAATCTGTACGATCCAGTAGCACTTATATTTCCCGACTTAATTCTTTTGACGACTTTGTGCGATATGTATACCCAATAAAAATATTAATTGGAAAATCTACCACATCTTATTCAAATCTACCACATCTTATTCAAATCTACCACATTTTTTTCGATTCTACTACACTAAAATAAAAAGGGGTTTGCACAATAATTTAGAATTATGTTTCAAGAAATAATTATACCCGAGCGCGCTTGTGAAAAAGAGTATTATAACCTTGTTCGAATAAAGGTTGCTTGGTATTTAGCGCTTACTTACTTACTTACTTACTTGCTTTTCTCTACGATTTTTGAGTATGTGGGGTTCCGTTTGATTCCCAAAATTGGGAGGAAGTGATTTCTCGAAATTGCAAATTCTCATAAATAAATAATTTCCGAAATAGGTTACAGCGGACAATATTTACACTTTTTTTGTTAATACATGTAGTTTTGAAGTTAACAAGAAAACAAATGAAAATAGATCCCAACGAATGTTATTTCTTTTTTTTTTTGGTAAAAGTTGATAATTTGCGACTTTTTGTAAATGGTAGAAACCACCACAAACCCACAAATCAGGTTTTAGAATCTTTATTAACTGCTTGTCCCGATAGCGAAGAAAAAAGTACGAAGAAACTTGTATTAAGAATTTTTATAACTAAATAATAAAATGTATATGTCTAAAGTTAGAAGCAAACGCGCTTAAAATTGTTTATTAATTTTAAGATAGATATATAGGTACATATGTAATAATTTCGGCACATACCCTTTATTGATACATAGGTAATACTTATTTAGAAAGCTGACAATTTTCGAAACAGAGATGTTAAAATCGTTAATAATTTACATTTTTCATAATGACACTCTTGTCACTAAAAATATTTCTCCAATTAATATTTTTATTTATTATAAGTACTTGCACAAATTTAAAACAAACAAATTAATGATAACGTTCAATAAACTATTTTTCGTGTTGAAATTTTAAAATCTGTTCAATAAAATTCAACCTTGCGTATTTTTCAGTGGGTTTTGTGTGTTTAGAATATTTATATCGATTGATTGGTACTGAATGAATGTGTGCACACATAGCAAAAGCTGCATTCATCTGAATGCTTATTCAGTGTTAAAAGTTTCGTGTTTCATTTTTTTTGTATCTTTCTTTGAATATGGTTATGTGTGTAATCGTATCTACTTTGAGTGAATGTAGAATTGGAAAATTATAAGCCACATTCCCCACCAAGGAAAAATTCAATGATAACATAATAACATAAATTCGATGATTTTTAATTTCATATGATTTCACAGTTTTACAGTTCTGATGCCTATATTACTTTTCATATCAATTCAAGTCTGTTACATGCGCCCAAATATGTAATACTTCTATATTGGCAGTAAGCTAACTTCGCAATGTGTAAGCATTCCAAATTCTAAGCGAGTCAGTCTAGTACAGTTGTTGTGTATTTAATAGGGATGTCTCGAATGCCCTATTTTTCACATTCGCGAATGCGAATGTTATGTCATCGTTTTTATTACTTTAAAATTTTGTAAATTATTATAACATTAAACGAGTGCTTAACCTATACAGTGTTTTAATCTTGTAGTCAAAGTTCAAAACGGCAGTATTATATTTCATAAAAAGTAATTTTGCTGCCTTTTCTCCCATGAGGCGATTTCTTAGAGGCTCGGCTGCACTAAAAAATTGCCCACTTGGAACGGCGGGTGGAGCGCTCAAATATTTGCGACCCAGATCTGTAAATTTGTCGTATTTTTGTTTAGTTTTCTACCAATCGAGAGGATTTCACCGAGATGAGCCCATTTTTCTTCAAGATAGGCCTTCAGGTGAGCTTTTATTTCAAATTTATTAATGTCTCCAGATTTTACATTCGAGCCTTCGCTCGCTAATCTAATAATTTCTAGGTTGCTTATACGACTATTAGCAGTACATGTTAAAGGCCCATCAATGTTGCTTGATATACTACTTAGGGCCGTTTTCTCATCTAACCTTTAGATTACCGGCCACTTTTTCGTCTCGATATACGAGTTTTCGTTTTCGCATTAATTTCTCGAATCGATAAATTGTTGTACCCAACTTTAAATTTTGGTTCGGTTTTGGTTCATGAGTCAGCTATATATGAGATATTGCAACCAAGGTTTTGGTTTTTGCTAACAGTTGCTCTTGCTCTATATTTGCTTATGTTGCATTGCCAACCTTTGAAATTTTATGACGAATGTAGTAAAGTTTCACACTCGGAAACGTAGTGAAGTTTCACTCTACGGAATAACAAATTTATTTTTACCGGTAAGATAGGAAAATGAAAACACTTTTAGGGCCGGTTACTCAATGTCTGGTTAACACTAATCTCCGGTTAAACATAGTTATCGACGTTACCGACTCCCTGTTTTATGCATGGAGTCGAAGTCGTCGATAACGATGTTTAACCGCAGATTAGTGTTAACCAGACATTGAGTAACCGGCCCTAAAGTGAGGAACAATTTATCTGCCCTGTTAGTAAAGGCAACTTTACCGCTTACATTAGAAAACGGCCCTTAATCGTTTAGCGCCTGAAGCT